TTGTGTCGCCTTGTGCGTTGAACCGATAAAATACCACACGCGATGTGCAGCTCTCTTTTTTCACTCTTGTTGTTGTACACAAGTCCAAATATAGAGAAAAATGCTAAACCTTACATCAATGCCCACTTTCATATCGATTTGATAAAACAAACAGCCAACACACAAAAACACAATTAAAACATGAGCAATCTGAATTCAGCTGTGAATGTCAACGCCGTTCTCACAACTAATAAAAAGCACGGATTAGATACTTAAAATCAATTAACATAAAATATTAGAAAAAAAAATTAGCATTTGAAGAAGCGCGCGCTCGTATTCTTAATTTAATACAGCATATTAATCGACCAACTTTAATTTGGTTTTTATCGATCTCTTTTTAGCTTTAACTTGTTTTAGTCGATTCACCGATATTGTACCAGCGTATGCACTGCATAGATGCGGCTTAGTCTGATTTTCAAACGATTGCTCGGAGCAACAAAGTAATTTTGACTTATACCAAATTCAAATCAAAGCAGCAATACGAAACATAAACATCTGATTTCATTTTCAATTTTGATAGCTTAAAAGTTTTTATATGTACATTGGGATTTGTGTTATCTTAGTCACACTCTCCACTCATTTTATGGTTTATTAATTTGTTTGTGATATTACGAAGTCAGAAATATTTTATCTGATTTGTGAATTCATTGAATTTTAAGATTTGTCACACTCATCTTCCAATTGGAAGGTCTTAGAAATGAGAGGAAAAAAAATTACTTAGCGATAAAAAGAACAACGACGTTAAAATTCATTTCGGCACGCACATTCCAGAATATATGGGCTCGAAAATTCTCTGTCACTAGACGTTAATATTGTTTACTTTTAAGATATATTCAATCAAACGGCACAGTATGTGTTATTTTGCCTCCGATAATTTCAATTGATATTCAACACAAATTCGAAAGAAACACTAGCATACATCATTTACCCGTCAAGATTTAGAAGATAACTTGAAAAAACATCATCGCTAAGTCATCTTCATCATCATCCCAACACCACCTTTTGCATCGTTCTTTGAAAGCGCACGAAAATTATTGATGATGTGATAAGTACTTGGTTTGAAATCTGTCATTATTTGAACACATTGACGAAAATGAATGGCTCAAATTCCTCGGACGGAATTGGATTTTATTTTATTTATCTCAGATTTCAGAATTAATCCAAAAAATATTCGACAAATCAATTTCAAATTTGAAAAGAAAAAAATCGGTCACTGACATTCTATTCATATGTTAATCTTTTCGAGAATCGATAGGAACCGGCATTTCGAATGCAAAATTACAAAAAAAACCTTATCAAAATACGTTGCTATAGCACAACATTGAAATGAGAAGATTATGTGATTTTTGTGAATGGCAATACAAAGACAAATTCAGGCATTAATTCCATCTGATGAAAAAAAAAAAAAAAATAGAACGTATACAAACGCAGAACTCACCATTTGATAACTGGTCAGTTAATAATTAAACAAAAAATCAGCTTCCGACAATATTTTTTTGGCCAAACAATTGCTGTTACTATTAATTGAAGATGATTTTATTTTTACGACATAAATATTGGTGTTAACTTCTAATCGTGTACTAAAGAGAGATGATTTACACCGAAAATAAACAATCGTTTCAACACTGAGTTGAATTCAAGTTCGCATGTCTGTAGTGTGGACTATATCGTAAACGTTGACTTTTACGATATTCTTTTCTTTTTGTTGAACATTAATGATCTATTCAACGTAAATGCGGATATTTTACGATCGAATCAAGCCTTCTTTCGATTCATCTATTTTAACGGTGCGCAAAGAAGACAACATTTTATGAGTTTTTTCACGAGAACCGTGTTAGTACCCAAATTATTATGGCCACCTTTCTGTTCACCTATGCATTTGGGTATTGTTTTAAAAAAAGATGAAGATGTTCACCAAAAATATTCAACCGACAAACATACATTTCAAAATAAAACTTACTATTTCGACGAACATAAAATTCTACTTAAAATACTGTTAGCAACTATTGCGAGAGACACTTTTAAAGAGTTACCGATGATGAATGCTATTCGAACGTGGGGTCACATGGTGGTGCATTTTCTGTGGCAGTAGTCAATTCACATAAATTCAATTCAAAATGTGGGAAAATTTATGGTATCGCCTTTTTGTTCCCCGTTTTGACTGTTTGCTTAACCGAATCATAGGTACATATGGGCTCATGCACAGCACAATGCTCTCGTTATCGTATCGATTAATCTACAGTAACAATAAAATAAATCGCATTATGAATTTCAAATAGATTCAAATATTTTTACGACTTTTAAATTGTTTTGTTCTCTTCACGTCCGAAGTGGAAACACTTTAATTTAGACACCATATTTTTTTTATCATTATTTATTCAGTTTAATCATATTTTAAGGTACATTTTTTATCTATTTTTATTGCTGCTTTTAACAGATCCATTTTGCTGAGTGTCGATTCTAACTTTGAATTTATTCCTTGGTTTCTCTTAATAGTTAGCATTAATTTGATTTGGTTCACATTTTTCGCATATCCGCATTTCTAGCACCTATTATACATATATATATATGAAAAAAGATAGAAGAATGCTGACACGAATCTAAGAGAACAAAGACTCATGCCGAGAGCAATAAAAAAATACGTAGAATATAATAATTTTTTACGACGCGAGCCTCAGTTTATTTTTTTCTATCTAACTATAAGTGACCTCAGGAATTTGCTTTATTTGTCAGCGACAATTTCTCAGCATTTATCCGTGCCAACCTTTCAAATTACTATCCAAAACCATTTGGTATCTATTAGTGCCAAAAGAGAAGACAAAGTGCCCTTAAAATGTTAATATTGACGAAAATAAAGAAGAAGAAAAAAAATAAAAATAAAATGTCCGAAATTCAGTCAGACAAAAAAATCGAAGGAATCATAAAAAACGTTGCAATAAACACTTCCGATTTGTTTTGGTCGACTGTCCTTTATTCCACTTTATGGGTATCGTTCGATCCACACATACATACAGACATACAAACATATACACCCATTCATTCGTTCTCATTTCCAGAAAGAAACAATATCCAGCCACGAATTTTGTTAAACAGTTCAAGCGTTCACACATTTTATTGCCACTTTCATCGATTGGTCGCTTTCGCTTCTTTGCACCGAAACATTTTGGCACACATTTATGAATGTTTTGTCCCTTGTGCGGCTGAATGATGATAAGTTTTCGCTTTCATTTTCACTTGGTGTCGACATGTTCGACGCTAATTTATTTGAGCATTCATTCACTCATTCATTTTGTTTTCCGTACGGAATTTTCATGCTGACACATACCATTCCAATTCATTTGAAAACACAGATGAATTGAAATTGAGCTGTTTCACGAACAAACTATAATCAATCAATCACATAGCGAACACTTCAATCTTTGACATCTTGTTTGTTTTGATTATACTTTTGAAAATGTTTGGCAATGATCGCTGAATCAATAGTTCGACGTATTTTATTCCGTTTCATACACAGAGTATTGAATCGTTTGCTACCCGCTTTTCATTCCAAAAATCGTAGTAGTAAATTGAAAACCGTGAAAAATTCGACGATTGATTTGGTTGCAGAAAACAGAACTACAATGCGTTGAATGTGTTCAGTATTCAGATTTAGTCAAGGTCAACGGGGCAAATTTCGTCGATTACTAGAATATCGTTGCTATAAACCATAAACCGAGTGTTTGGTTGTGCTTCAGTGAACCGATATTGGGTGCAAAGTCCTTATATTTCGAATAATGTATGCCAGTTTTGATTGATTTCCATTCGACGAATCGATGCGTGCATAAAACATGACTTCTTCATCGAAAATTCAACACCACAGCAATTTATTCGCTGCTCAATGCAAACAACCATCGATACGCGAACAGTGAAAATAGTGGAAAACAACAGCCTGTGCATAAATCATACTAAAGATGGATTTCTAACTCTAAGCCATACGGTATGTACCACACTACTGCTGTGTCGAATATGTAAAACAAGTCGAATTCGAATCACACGACCCGCGCGAGAATAGGTAAAATAGAACAAATAGCTGCCGTTATAGATAACGCTCAGTCAGTTGCAAGCACGTAAATAACACTTTCATTCTGAGTTATATCACTAGCGTCTTAAATGCGTGCGCTATTGCTCTGTGCAATGGTAAGATTGTGGGAAAATGTATACATTTGACCCAAAAATCACCTCTTAAAATCTTTGCACATACGGAAGTACGTGTATAAAATCTTCTATAGTATTTTCTGAATAATATTACAAACATAAATCCAAGCCACGTGAATTCTTGTACTGAATAGCTGATAAAAATATACGATCCACTTGAAACTGTGGCCGTTACCACATCAAAGCAAAATAAGAGCATTTTTGAATTTAATTTGCATGTGAAAGACTTTACAAAGAAAACACAAGAAAAGAATGAGAGTTTCGTAGCACTCTCTTTGCACAAAAAACGAAGAAAATCACACCAAAGGAGAAAATGAATCGTATTCATTCAAAGGAGAAATAATCTAGTACTGCTTACGAAGTCGCTGTAAGCTTAAACTGCTCACAACGCGCCGCAGTGCCGGAACATATGCATTGCGTTTTGCTCATGTTGTGTTTTGGTTTCTATGCGTCATCGTACTGTCGCTTGTATCAGCTATACCGAACAACCGAAGCATGAATGCAACTCGCATATTCATGTCGAACCATCGCGCTTTAACCGTTTTATGTGCATTCTTGAGTAACAGACATCTTCGAAACCATCAACGTTCGTTTGCGTAACGCAATGCTTCGGCCGCAACAAAAACTCACACATGAACATGTATGGTAACGTATCGCGAAGCCGTATTCTCTGTGTCTTCCATTCCATTCGGACGGAGTATTCGTTGATTTATCGATGGTCGTGGCTCTTGTTCGTGTTGTCGGTTGCGTTTAGTTCGGAACATACATTCAACGCGAATAGTTGTTCAAATCGAAGTTTTTACCGTACATGAGATTCATTCGTTCGTTCATTCGTACGTTTTTCTATATCGCCTTTCGAAATTCCCATAAACGTTAGCCGGAGTTTTTTATTTGGTTTTTTTTTAAATTCGCTCGCAAATCAATTCGAATCAACTCAATTTTTATTTTCATTATCGATTTTGTTGTTTTTTCTACCGTGTTGAATTAATTGAAATAATTTGCCATCAAACAAAAATATTTGGTTTATTTTGTTTGTTTGGGGAAATGGTTTGCAGAGAATTTCCGAAATAGACACTCAATAATTCTCTGTTGCTCGTTCATCATCCGACGCCAGATCAGTGTTTATGTTATTTTGGTTTTTAATTAAAACGGAAATTAATCAAAAAGTTCAGTAACCCGAGTGGAAAATTGATTAAAATTAATAAATAAACGCACGCACTGCGAAAATATTGAATTCAGTGACAAAAGCAACTTTGCGGTTTAAATAGTTATTTGTTGAAGTGTTTCATTTAAATACGATTTGTTTATCAACACAACTGTTCAGCAACAAAAATTTATACTACACGCACATATTTACGGAGATAAAAATATTTATATATATAAATATATGTGGACAATGTGCCATTTATTATTATTTTGCAATTGAACATATCGAGTGCAGTTTTTTTGTAGTGAGAATTGTGAAATTCATTTGTACTTTTTATCTTAGACGTATGTCGGTATTTTTTTTTAGTTTTCATCGATACTATATCACACTCTCGCATCACCATAATTCGGTCATTCTTCTCAAGCCAAAGTAAGTAGCAAACGGTCTTTTGAATTGAGACAATAAACTGCAGACTAGAATTGATTCCCAAGTGTATCATTTCTGAACCATTGACATTATCGTTGATGTCATGTATTCTGTGTGAATATATTATTTTATGTAGTGCTCCTTGTGAATTGTTTATGTTCCGTATTTTCAACATATAACTCATCACATTTGACTTGAGTTTTTTGTGTTGTTTTCAGTTATTATTATTGTTGTTACTGTTTCGTGTTTTGCATGTTTGTTTTTATTTGTTTTTTACAAAGAAATGTTCTCTTTTGTAAATGTGTGTGGATAAAATTCCAACTTTGAATAAATCGAAAAAAAAACGAAATTCTTTTCATTTTATGTCGAAAGTAGTGAGAAGATGGATTGAATTCGACTGCATGTTGTTGCACATACAATTCAATTTCAGTGATGGAAACAAACTATTGATTGAGATGAATCGTTTGCTGAATCGCAAACTATTCCTTCTCATCTTTGATGCAGATATACACAAAGAATCAAGCAGTATGTGTATTTCGTTTTGTGCTATTCGCAATAAAACACAAAAAAAAATTGAAAAAGTTTCAGCAACAAAGAGCGAAACTGTTTTATAAAAGATATTTCGTCAAGAGTTAGAGCAAATCGAGATCAAACTATTTGATTATTGGCTGTTGAATTTTCGTCAAATTCTTTGATCGGTCCCTTTTCCACATTGACGTGGTCGTATTTTGTTGTTATTTACTTTGCGCAGCCAAACTAATGGTGCTCAATGCATGTACGTTTTTGTGTATTTACGAACAAAAATATCGATCATTATCGATATTATTTGCAACTTGAAATCAAATACCATTTGTTTCAAATCTTTTTCTTTTATCTTTTGTCAAACATTAAAGTTTTTTTTTATTTAAACAAAAGACAAAAGATAGTAACAAAATGATATGTATAATAATAGAAATGAATAGTTTTTCAAATCGTTTGGATTTCGAAATTTCATCACAGTGTTCAGTTCGTTCAATTGGAATGGAATGAAGGAAATCGATCAAAATGAATCGATAAAATGTAATACCATGAATGGTCAGGAACAAAAACGTTTTCTAGTAAATTATTCCACAGATCTGTGGATGAGAAAAATGAACCGTAATCGTGCCAAAAATATCGAAACACGTCACATTTTAACACAATCGTTAACTGAATAGTTTCAGTTTCACATATTTTTTTCTTTTTCAATAAATTTATCGAAAAAGAATGCTTTCACCACTTGCGTGTACTTTGTGGTGGCGCTGAAATAAAATGATTATTTTGTTACCTACTTTTTCTTTTACATGATAATCCGATTCAAGTTTAAGTAGAGCAATTCATTTAAATTGATTTAAATTTGATTTGTGAACTAAGATTAAAATTTTATTAATTGTGTTCGAGCAAGCAACCAACAGTTATTGTTTCAATTCCATTGTAATGCTTGCTATTGAAGTTTTCGTTGGTTTTCAATAGCCGTCGTCGATTTTGAAAATCAATTGTAATTGCTTGCATGAAAAACGAGACTTCCAAAAAAAAAAGAACGACGCTCGAATTAAATATATAATGGTGTATTAATGCCATCACTGTGTGTGAATTGTATTTTCAATGAAAAAGAAAAGTTCTTTTAATCATAAATGGAAAATCATGTCAGTCTATTGATTGACTTGATTTGGTAGATGTCGGCGAAAATGATCGCACTTTGACTTACAAGCAACAAGCGTTGCGTGCTAGTACACAGAATTTATGTATATATACACGAAAAATTGATCAACTTTTAAATTGCTTTGTGTCATGATTTGTTCTTTTTTTCTTTGTTCATTCCAAGTCACTCCAAACTTGTGGTCGTGTCTATTTCGCTATTTCGATCGAACTAAATGCCAAGCGAAAAAAAATGAAACGAAAAATCATCTAGTGAATTTACCAATTAGAACGTAACAAGAGTTTCTTTTCGCGTTCATTGTTAATATGAATGAGGTAGAATAAAAACTACTTCTCGAAAAAAAATACTAAACACGAAACCTAAAAAAAATTTCAATAAAAGTGAACCAAAATATTTTTGTCAAATTGAAGTGAATCAAAAAAAAAATTGTTCGATAAAAGTGAACCAAAAAAAAAAGTTCATTTTAGTGTATTTTACACTGAAAAAATCAAATAAATTTTTTTTTTTGGTTCACTTTTATCGAACAAAATTTTTTTGATTCACTTCAATTTGACAAAAAGATTTTGGTTCACTTTTAATTGAAATTTTTTTTTGGTTTCGTTTTCAAATACCAATTTTTCGAGAAGTAGTTTTTATTCTACCCCATTCATATTTCGTACATCTTCAAATTGAATTCAGCTCACCACGAATTTTGTTAACAAACATCATTATTATTGTTCTTGATTGATTTAGTGATGGTCTCATTCCTCAAAACCATTGACAATCTAAGAAAACAATAACAAAATGCAAAAGTGTTTTCATTAAAAATGATTTCATGTTGATTTAAAATGTTCGAAACGTGATGAAAAGGCCAAAACAGTTAAAATCAATCGATGTTCATGCTTCAAACAAGAAACAAAAAAATTGAATCACTGATATTGATGATGATTTCATTCCATTTTTGAAGTTCTGACTCAAAGATCAATTACGGTAAAACAAGGAATAAACAATTGAAGTACATCTAATACAAATATGTGTATTCAGCCAATTCCGATAGATTGGTAAATGTTTCACTGTGTGTCGGCATATTAAAACACAGGCAGAAGCTATTCATTTTTATCGATAAATAATTTCGTCATTGTGTCTACGTCTAGGTACCTTTCACCTTTTTCTTTTCATTCGGTAATGAAATTTCGTAGCAGAAAGTGACGAGATAATCAAATGTTTCAAAGACGCTTGACCATTGACGAAGAAATCAATGGTTTGGCATCATCTATCCACAAAATTAACTTGTAATCGAAACGATCGTAAAAATTGATTGGAATTTATGTACTACATGTTCCGCATGTTTGGTTAATGAATTTGATTTTCTTCTTTTGATCAAAGATAGTCCGTCAAGTAATGATTTTTTGGATTCGATTTTCGGTACCGCAACGCTTCCAATGATTTACGTTCAGGTGTTAATTGTCACTTTATTGTAATCAACGGGTCATGTGCAAAGGTCAAACCACAATCAATTTGTCTCCGATTAAAACGAAAAACAAAAATGTACGCCTTTCACTTCACCGCAAATTTCAGCCTACAACCCATGTGAATAACATAGTAAAACATAAAAATGCAATTTTCTTATCACTTCAGCAACACCATCAGAGCTTTGTGTTACACGATTTATCATTACAATTTTTTTCCAGCTCCTTTTGCGAGCCGAGCAAAAAGTGTAGTAAATCTATATCAAAAACAGCCGAAATGTATGATACTTGAGAAAAAATCGAAATTAATACATTACGATTTTCACGAGTGAAGAAATGTGAGACACATAAATACCATGAATGGCGGATGGTAAACGCCACAAGAGAAAAGAAAAAAATATGATAAATGAGCTTTTGATTAGTTTCGGAAATTTATGTAGTTTAATTAATATCGTAATCATTCGTAAACACACAATCGAAAGGGAAAAAGACAGACGAAAGGGAATTTTTTTTCTTCATAAAATACTTTTACCGATGTGATGTAACCAACATGGCTCTGGTTCCCTCGACGTAAGTGTTTCACGAATATAAGCAATTTTGCTCTATGCGAAAATATTGGCAAAAATGTATAAAAACTCAATGCCACAAAGAGTCCAAGGAGTGGAGAAAGCAAAAGAAACACCAAACTAATGAGATTTATTCTCCCATTTCAATGACAACAGCATTTTTTGTCTACGCTCTTGTGTTTACAATTTTTTTTTTGCTACTCCACTCCATTCCTATTTCGTGAACAAACTAACGGCGTCTATGCGGAAATTTGTGTGCTCTCGCGCTAGCAAATGCGATGCAAACAATCCGGCATATTTGGTAGATTTATCTACCTTCGTCACAATCATCTCTTTCACACAGGCTGCTTTTTTACAAATAACGTTGGCAATAAAACGTATGAAACAACGATCCAAACACAGAGATTCAGAAAAAAAAAAGTTAAACCAAAAAAATTTGTTTGGAAAAAGTTCTTATCACGTGTTGTCAGATTGACGTTACGCCGTGTGCTATACCATTGCCGAGTCATTTCGTTGACTGCTCGACGTTTATATATATGAGTGTTTTTTGTAACAATTTTTGTGGGTGTGTAAATTGGCATCATCAACCTTTACATACACCGCATGGAATGTTTAGTTTTTGGTTCGGCTGACGGAAGAGCATTTTGTCATTTTCGTGGCACTGGTATTGCTAGTGTCACCACTGCTATTGCCATCATGCAGGTCTGTTCTTTTTATGTTTTATTTGTCATGTATATATACAAATTTTCCGGTGATGTTATTCCGAATTAAAATCCGCATAACTCCTGTACGAACATTGCATACAAAAACAGCCCGAGATAAAGCTATCACTGAGAGGGTATCTGATGCTGTTCCCAATCTATTTACACTATTTTCGTACATTCATTCAAAAACATTGCTTCTCCTATGATTCACAACAAAAAAAAACTCTAATACATGCAGAGGTGTAAAAAATCACCGCGGATGGGAATAACACGAGTCAACGGTGAAATCAGAGTCGAATGTCACACTCGAAACATGAACGGGAGATAAAAACTCGAATCAAATACAAAATATGGTGAAAAATCCATTTCTCTGTATCACTAAACCATATCCAAATACACCAAAAACTCTTGTGCATACACACACACATACATCGATGAACACAAACACACGCGCACATCAACGTAATCCGATTAATTTGTTCGTCTCTTTCTGGTTGACGATTAGAGTGGTTTCGGTTGTTGTTGTACACATCACTGGCACGAAGCTTATGCTTCATTTGTTCAATTTTTTACGGTATGAACTTCAATTTTTTTCTATCCTCTCGTA